TGTTGTGGGAAGGAAGTTACAGGCTTGGGAGGAAAGGTTTCAAAGTCCAGTTCTAAAGCAGCCTGGTGAGAGCTTGTTAGGTGCCTGTCCTTGGCCAGTGCTCCCATACCCATTGCCTGCTACTCAGAGTCAGCCAGACGAGCCTGGTTCTGTTCCCTTGTGTCGGAAGGTTGAGAGGCAGTGGGAGCTCACAGGTGCCGCCTCAGAGATGCTGCAGGTAGCAGGAGACCCAGTCTGTTTCCCATTTATGTTTTCATTACTGAATTTGGATAATTATGACTCCTGTTAAAACACTACCTCCAAATATTCATGTTCTTAGATAAAATGAGTGCCTTGTCTCTCCTACTTAATAAACTACTGAATTATACATTCTGTTTCTTACTAATAGTGGAGATGAAGTTTCTCATGCTTTTCTCTAAGGGAAGCAAAAGTAATTTTAAGGGAAGTGTCAAACCATTAATGCATTTATTTCCCTGAACTATATGTGAGTAACTAACTGCATTTGGGGGCAGTGTGAGAGGAAAGGAAAAGAAAAGAGGGATAAGATTTACTGAATATCAGCTGGACATGGTGGTTCACACCTGTAATCCCAGAACTTTGGAGGACTGGGGCAGGAGAATTACAAATTCAACCCCAGCCTGGGCAACTTAGTGACTTAGTGAGATCTTTCTTAAAATAAAAAGGTCTAGAAATGTAGCTCAGTGTAAAGGTCCTAGATACAATCTGCAGTACTGCAGGGGGAGAAAAGATTTATTAAATACCGCTGTATGCCAGCTATTATACTAGACAGTGGGCAAAGGACTGAAATAGCTTACATGCCCAGAGGTAGGCTTTATTTCCATTTTACAAATAAGGAGACTTAGGTGCAAGATCACATAGCTGAGGTCAAGGAAAAATTCAAACTTGGTCCTGACTCCAGAGCTCCTGGTCTTGCTATAGAAATCATCAGTATTGGAGATCCTTCAGGATTCAAAACCAGAAGTGACTGAAACTGATTTTTCTTCATGGGAGGATTTACAGCAGTTGTTAATGCGTGCCCATCCTCTGAAGGATGTTAGTAATCAGAAAATGTTATTGTCTTAGGGCTTCTCTTCCTGCTTTCCTCCCAGTTAAAGTTTCTTTATTGCGTAAACAAAGTTGCATAACTTATGGCAAATACTCCTTCCACCTGTGGCAGATGTCTCCCAGACTGTATTCTCCCACCCACAAAAGCTGGTACCCTTCTAAAACACAAAAATTCACTTAATTGCTTTTTTCCTTACCAAGAGCAACATTCTATTAACAAAATGGCTCACAGAGTCTTCTCAAAACTTCATTGCAAAGGAAATGAAACTATTAAAAGACTGTTGCTCTGTAATTCAGGAAATTGAATCAGCTTGTTTGGAGCCATAAGCAGAGGAAGACTTGAGCTGTACTGAGCTACATAATATGAGACTAAACAGTGCCCTGCTCTGAAAGAACTCTACCATGCAGAGGAGTCATGAGCTGTCGCTATACAGGACCACATAAATCTTCAAATGTTTCCTTATCTTTACCCCCTAAAATTACAATTCTTCACATAAGATGAGAATACTTTGATATTAGCATTTGGAGTGATTTTTTAATGTTTTATTTAGCTTTTCACTGCAGTTCACATAATATTTGTGGAAATATATCATTTAATAAAGTATATATAATGTACAGGCCTTGAGCATGAAGAATTTCTGCAGGTAAATAATTAAGCTTGGGTGATAGATACATGAAGTTTCATTATATTATTGCCTCTACTGCTAATACATGTTTTCCCTGATAAACAATTTAAAATATTCTCTGTGTTCTTCCTATACTGCTGCACCCATCGAACCCAGTGTTTCCTTGCTCCACCCACCAATTTAAGATGCCAGTCAAATTTAGACACATTGAGCACGAAAGAAAGGGAAAGGTTGGACTTAAGAACTCTGATATACTCCTTCTATGACATGAATAGTCATACTCATATTTTAGATTCTGAATTGCTGTAAGAAAAGAAATATTGCTGCAGACTACATAAGAAATGACACTGTGTGGGTGGGTGTATTTGTTGTGTTTTCCCTAAAGCTAACTAATCTAGCTCCAAATCTTCATCCCCAGAGTTTTAAGGAGGTTCAGTATCAGTGACTACAGATCCTCTTGTTTTTAAGAAAATCTGTCCAAAACTTACAGATAAGACAACAAGATTGGTATGTGCATTTTCCATGTTGAACTAGAACACTTAGAAGCACTCTTAGAGATCTTTAGCTTCAGACCCTAGACCAGTGGTGGCAAACCTATGGCACACTGCCACAGGGGGCATGCAGAGCCCTCCCTGTTGGCACATGAGCCAAGTTGCCCCAGCAGCTGAGCATCAGATAATGATAGTCTTTTCTAAACTAAAACCTCAGAATTCAGGTGTAATTGCACGATTGGCACTCTGATAAATAAGTGGGTTTGGGGTTGCAGTTTGGACACTCAGTCTCTAAAAGGTTCCCTATCACCGACCTAGACCCATGCAATATGGTAGTCACATGTGGTCACTGAGACTTGAAATAAGGCTGGTGCAACTGGAGAACATATTGAAATGATAACATTGTAGATACAGTGGTTGGTTGGTTGGCTTATTGATTGGTGGAAATGGGGTTTTAACTGTTGGCCCAGGCTGGCCTCAAACTTGTGGGCCTAAGTGATTCTCCCACTTCATCCTACCAAAGTGATGGGACTACAGGGGTGTACCACCTACCCTGGTTTTTGCCGAGGTTTAAATAAAATGTTATATCAAAATTTGGAGCCTTTCTTCTCACTGGGCGTGGTGGCGCATGCCTGTAGTTCCAGCACTTGGGAGGATTGCCATGAGTTCAAGCCCAGCCTGAACTAATAGTGAGACCCTGACTCAAAAATAAATAAATACATAAATAAATAAATAAAAATATTTTTTTATAATTGGGAAGGCAAGGAGGATAGGGGGAGTAAAAAAATCAAAATGCAATATGTATATGTATCAAATGCCCAAGCTGACTGTGATCACTATGTATCATAAGTGTGTCCTAATAAAATAAAATTACAGATTAATTTCACAGCTATGCATGCTAACACATGCCTGTAATTCAAGCACCCCAGGGAGGCTGAGGCAGGAGGATCACACATTCAAGCCCAGCCTTAACTAAGCAATTTAGAAAGAGCCTGTCTCAAATTTTTTTTAAAAAGAGGGGATGGGCGTAGGGATATAGCCCAGTAAGAAGGGCCTGGGTTCAATCCCCAAGTACCACCAAAAGTAAAATTAAAAAGTTTATTTCATTTTTTGATTTTTAACTTTTTTAAATGTGGCTAGCAGGAAATGTGTAAGGTTGTATACATACCTCTTTTTTTTTTTTAGAGCAGTACTACGGATTGCACCCACTGCCTTTGCATGTGGCTACATCCCCATCCTCTTTTGAGACAGGGTCTTGCCAACTCACTAAGTTACCTAGGCAGGGCTCAAGCTTGCTATTTTCCTGCCTCAGCCTTCCAGCATGCTAGGATTACAGGCGTGCACCACCATGCCAACTTCGTATTATATTTCTATTGGAGTTATGGAAAGGTAACTAATGTTTGACTATTTACTTCTGACCAGTGTCCAGACGATAAAATTAAATGTTAGCTGTAAATGATTTCCATTTAAAACCAAGAGGCAACTCCAAAAGTTTTGATTTTATGACTCTGTGAAGTATTAAATAATTTTATATATAATTTGATGGATTTAGTTTATGTTTTATTTGCCTTAACACTTTACATTTATCTCTAATGATTGCACCAAGCAGAATCTTGTTGTAAGTTAAAAGTTGGATTCCGTCAGTTTCTGGCAATTCTCTAGCTCTTCATGTACTCAAAAAGATGATTAATCCTGTTGGTGAAAAGATATAATGGACATAAACTTAAGTGGCACTCTGAACTACTTATTTTATTTGAAATTATGTTTGATTGACTTATCTTGCTTCCCTAAAGGGCGGAGAAAGGGCAGTGAAAAATATGGAATAATGCTGGTACCAAGTAACAACTTTTCTTTCACTTTATCTGCTCATATGTTTATGTAAGCAAGGGCAGAGAAACTTTGATGTTTTAAAATTCCAGACTTCATTCCCAAAGACAACATTGCCAAGGTCCTCATTTCTAGTACTGACCCCAAGGAAATGCCTCAGCTTGCACTGTGGGGCTAGTGCCATTCTTTCTACCTCCACTCATAAGAAGAAGGGTGGTTGTTTTGGTTTTGGTTTTTTAAATGTGCCCCTCATTAAAACAGCTGAAGCCATTTGACAGTAGCTATGCTGCTGTTTTCCCGGTACACAGAATCACTGTTTGGAACCTCTTGGAACAATTGTTCTGCTAACCCTTTTGAAAATGTATTTGAGGGCCAGAGATTTAGCTCAGTGGCTCTGCCACCTTCCTCGAAAGGGCAAGGTCCCAAGTTCGATCCCCAATACCAAAACAAAAAAGAAGGAAAATGTATTTGAGGGCTGGGCGTGGTGGCATATGTTTGTAATCCCAGCACTCGGGAGGCTGAGGCAGGAGGATCACCACAAGTTTGAGGCTACATAGTGAGTTCAAGGCCAGCCTGAACTACATAGCAAGACCCTGTCAAAAGAGAGAGAGAGAAAAAGAGAGAGAGAGAAGGAAGGAAGGAAAAATAAATGTATTTGAGGTGGAATACCAAATAGGAACATGCTATGTATTCCATTTGTCTATGTTTGCTTATCTGTTTGTCCCATGTTTTCAGCTCACTACTGAAAGTAGAAGACAAAACAAGGCAGTAATAAATGACAGAGCAGAAGACTTTAGGTTTAAGCTCCAAATCTCTTAGCTACCTAAATAAATAAATACTAAAGAGCTATAGTGTTGGCAGAAGAGAACATCTAGACTAGTAAAGCTGAAGTTCCTTTTTCTTCACCTCTACCAGCTTTGATTTTTGTGTCTAGAGATTTGGAGAACTGCTATGACCATGAATTATTAAGCATGATGTTTTATTTTGTCAGGTTGGAATGAAATACAGAAACCTGATCCTGAAACCTGGGGGATCTCTGGACGGCATGGAAATGCTCCAGAATTTCTTGAAACGTGAGCCAAACCAAAAAGCGTTCCTAATGAGTCGAGGCCTGCATGCTCCGTAAGCTGGAATCTTTGGTAGCCGTCCATGTCTGGAGGACAAGTCGACATCACCATGTGTTACTGGCCTGGAAACTGAAGGGAATTTTTTGCATATGAAAACTTAGATTGCTATCGACTGCCTTTTGTTTTTCACTTTTAAAAAATTATACAGATGTAAATGGAATTACAAATACTGTGACCTAAGAAAAGACCCACTAGAAAATAATTGTACTATAAAATTTCATAAAAATGGATTTGATTTCTTTTGATAAAAGCTTCATATGAATGTAATTTGATTTTTTTACTATTATAATGTAGATAATATAATGTAAGAGGGCTAAGAATTTTTAAATTAAATCATATACATGATATAATTTGATCCTTCTTATATCTTGAAGTTTTGTACTTGGGATTTCTGGACTGATAAATGAATCATCACATTCCTCTGGTAAATGTTTTCTTGGAGCCCTGTGTCAACTTTGATCTTCCGTCCTGCAGCAGGGTGTGACCTCTCTTTCACCTGCATACCTCAAGGCCAAGAAGCATGTGCCTCAGTAACGTGTTTGTCTTCATATACTGGGCCTCATGATTCCCAGCTTTCAGCCACACTTAAATTATATTTCTCTGTTTGAGTTTGGGTTTTTTTTTCCCTGAAGTTCAGTTACAGTGTACCAAAGTTTTGTTTTGTTTTAGTTTTAACTGAACTAGCCTAATGTATATTACAAGTCTTTGTATCTTGTATTAAAGGATTTGTGTTACAGACTTGATTCCATTTCAGCATAACAGATTGTCAATCTGGTGTAGCTGCCAATTAGAACACTAAAGTAACCCCGGGTGTCTTTTTTCATTCTCATTTCTAATAAGGAGTAATGACTGCCTCCTTTACTAACCACCTCCCCCAAAATGATAGGTAGATATGTCTTACAGTGCCATAGGAGGACAGCTGATGCTAATATGGAATGTTTATATAAAGAGTTCAGAAATTCCAAAAGAGGAGCCAGGCATTGTGGCATACGCCTGTAATCCTAGCATTCAGGAAGCTGAGGCAGGAGGATCACCATGAGTTTGAGGCTCACCTGGGCTACATAGTGAGTTCAAGGCCAGCCTAGAATACATAGAAAGACACTGTCTCAAAAAGAAAAAAGAAAAAAATAATCCAGAGAAGAGTGGATTCAGGCGGAGAGTTTAGGACAGCCGCTCCAAAGTATTATGTGAATGCTGAAACTCACCTCTGGGGAAGAGGCTCTTCAGTAGCCTATTTTTTCTGGTTATTTTTATTTGAAGCAACCCTTTGGATCTCTCTTTAACTCTCTTTACTTTGGTCCTAACGTCTACAGCAGACCATTAAACTCATAGTACTTATTTTTCCTGTACTAGAAAATCAAGACAAAATAATTTAAAAAATAATTTTATAATAAACTTTGTTTGCAGTGCGAGGGATGGAACCCAGGGCCTTGTATGTGCTAGCCATTGCTCTACCAGTTACACCCCTATCCCCCCTCCCCAAATAAACTTTGTATGCTGCGTAGTTCATCCAGACACATAGTTTACCAAGACACACCTGAGGTATGACTTTGCTGGCCAGGAACAAAATTACAACCTTTTTATGCTTTAGTCCAAATGGACTTTGTATTAAATAAAACTTTATTACACTGCATAATAAAGTTAGAGACAGCAATGAAAATACGAGCTATAGTAACATGAAAGGAATTCCAAGATTATTATTGCCACGCAGATACCTTAAACATCCACATGAAATCCTACCCTCCCGTTTGAGACAAATTACCTGGCCCTTCTCCCTCCCATACCTAACCCAGTGTCACTGTCCCCAAAGCTATTTTTGTGGTGGTCACCCACACCTCAGACTCTTGTTTTTCTCTTTCCAATTTAAAACAAACAAACTCTTCACCTTTTTCTGTTGCCCCGTGTGTCTTTTCACAATAACTGGCATTTTAAATCTTGTTTTTTAAGAAAACTAAAAATTGGTGTGGTGGGCCAGGGATTTAGCTCAATGGTTCTGCCGCCTGCCTCGCAAACACAAGGTACCGAGTTCAGTCCCCAGTACCAAAAAATAATTAATTCAAAAATAAATAAACAACAATTGGTGTGGAAAAGGCAGCAAATAAAAGTTACATTATTGTCCCCCAGCATGAACTCACATTTCTCTCATACTTTAATGTTAAAACTGAAAGATGTGGGCCGGGGATTTAGCTCAGTAGTTCTGCCGCTTGCCTCGCAAGCACAAGGACCAGAGTTGGATTCCTGGTACCAAAAGAAAACAAAGAAACTTTGCTGTTTAAGGGCCGGGGATTTAGCTCAGTGGTTTCGCCGCCTGCTGCGCAAGCACAAGGACCCAAATTCAATCCTTGGTACAAAAAAAAAAAAAAAAAGGTGGAGATCAAAAACACATTTTTTTTTAGGCCACCTCTTATATTTAAAATCTACTGAAAAACTGCAATACAATCAAATACCCATTTACAAAATATTCACTAGCATAATTCAGAAATAATGACTTCCCCCATCAGAGCAGCTATCACTGAAATACTTTGTGCTAGTCAGCTTATAGTCATTGTTACAAAGTACCTGATTATAACAACTTAAAGGAGGGAAAATTTATCTTTGGCTCAGTTTGAGGGTTTTCAGCCCATGATCAACTGGCTGTGTTGCTTTCAGGCCTGTGGTGAGGCAGAAGGAAGAGCCTGGAGGAAAGGAGAGGAAGGGGCTGGGGATCAGACACTCCCTAAGGTCACGCCCCTCTACCCCATGACCTGCTCCTGGGCTCACCTCCAGTTTCTTTTGCCTCCAATAATGCCATCGAATTATGCTCTCATCAGTGGTTTAATCCACCTAATGAAGTTAGAGCCCTCAGGATCCAATCACTTCTCCAAAAACCTATCAGCTGGCAACCAAGCCTTTAGCCCATGAGTTTGGGAGGATATTTCAAATCCAAACCATAACACTGTAAATGGAAGATAACTATAGAAATTGTAATTGGGCAAACATACTTGGTTTATTTGATTTCATTTTTTTTTCAGGCATTGTTTATTATATTGCTACGGGCAAGTCTTAAAACATCTTTTGCTAATGTATAATAGGCATGATCCCTTAAAGGTTTGGTTTTAAGATGCTACAGAGAAGAAAAGGTCCTGATGTTATACCACCTGAAGTATATTTTTCCCCTCTAGTAATAAATACTACTGCATGTTACCTAGATACTTAAAAATGATCTGAGTTATCACCAAAGCTACTTAGATCAAGGTCTTGCCTTTCTAAGGCAATAGGATGAAAGATGGATGTTTGTTGCTCTGTAGACAAGAAACTGCATTGTGTTGACCAAATTTGAGAGAAAAGCATTCTTCAAAGAAAAATTACCGCTATGTTTTTTGTACTTGCAAATGCCTTAACTAGTAGGGAATAAATTTTCTACTTTACCATTTTGGCTTTAGTTTTTGGGTATGAATTAAAGGTCAGTGGAGATCCTGCTTCCCCAGTGGATCAGCTGGTTTGTGTATGACTGTTTTTTCATTCTCTGTTGTACACAAGTAGAATTTTCCATACTCCAAGGAAATTGCATTAAAAAGTGCATCAAAATACTGTCTTAGTTTGGCTTGCTGTAACAAAATACCACAGACTAGGTGGCTAAAAGCAGATATTTAAAAGCCAGGTGTGGTAGTGGTTGACTGTAGTTCCAGATCTTTGTAAGGCTAAAGTGGGAAGATCATTTGAACCCAGGAGTTAGGTCAGCCTAGGCAACATAGCAAGCACCCCCTCCAAAAAAAAAATTTTTTTTTTTGGTGCTGAGACAATTTGAAATTAAATTAGACACATTTGATTGCCAGGTAAAAACAGGCAAAACCTTACTAGAAAATGGTACTTAGGAAAGGAACACAAAAGCCTTTTAAGAGTGTATTGATGGGGGGGCGGGGGAGAATAGCTCAATGTTAGAGCATTTGCCTAGCATGTACAAGGGCCTGGATTTGATCCCCAGCACCACACACACAGAAAAGGAAAGTATGTGTCCAAATCAAAAGGATAATCCCTCTGGGCTCCAGGGTGGTTAGATCAATCACAGTTGGAACACTGTGTTCAAGCAGACTTTAGCCAAGCATTACAGAGCTGTAAGGACCAGGAACAAGATGATGCATTTGAAAATGTTTTGAAGGAAACATACACAACAATTAAGGAATTCAGTCTGGAGAGTACAATTCAGAAGTACAAATAATTGTTTTCAAATACTTGGACAATATGGGAGAAAGAATTGGCTAATTTCTGGCTTCAGAAGTCAGAGCTTAGTATGTGGTTGGAAAAAGGGAGGCTTTAGTTGAGTATGAGGAGCAAGTTTGTAATGATTATTGTTGACTGGGAATACATTTTATGGCTGTTAGTATTCTTAAATAGCCTGTAGCTGCCAGAAGTGTTACCGAGAGGAATCTTCCCTTGGGTAGTTATTGGTGTCAGATCAGCTTTGAGATTTCCTTATATGACGTTCAACTGAAAAATATCACTCCCAGAAACATTCATAGGCTGGGTCTTAGGAAAGTTGTTAAGATGGTTGCAGCACCTTCATTCTGCAGGGAGAGCATTCAGTTTAATAAGTGTTGTCTTAATCATCTGTAGTCAGCCAGTACTTATCCAGAAGTTCTGTCTCCTTATGGATAATCTGGGAACTGGGGGTGGGAGACTAACAGCTGTACGGCCAGAATAAAGCCAATTGCTCTTATAAAATGAATATAGGTTCATTTTCTTCCCTTAAAGAATTTACAGTTGCTCTCTGCTCATCCCACCCACTACTGTCTTCATCATACGTACCGAGAGGCAAAAATTCAAACACTCAAGTTTATCAGGATACCCTCTACCATATTGTGATCTCTTTGAGTCATGACTGTCCCTTGTGCTTCACAGTCCTTGACTGTCAGTGCATAGTTAATAAAGGTTAATAAATAATACTTTCTTTAAAGTTACTTTTTGCTCAGGGCATGGTGACACATCTGTAATCCCAGGGAGGCTGAAGCAAGAGGAACACCAGTTTGAGGCCAGTCTGGGCTACATAAGGAGTTCAAGGGCAGCCTGGATTATATAGTGAGACTATGTCTCAAAAAAATAAAAATTATAAATAAAATTACTATAAAATGCATTTTTCTACAATAACTGCAAAATACCTAATTTATAGGTGAATCTGAAACTATAGGATTGGGAATATAGCTTAGTCTTAGTGGTAGTGTGCTTTCCTAGCATATGTGAGGCCATATTCAATCCCTAGCACCATAAAAATTTTTTATAAATGATATAGAATCTATTCATCCCAGCCAGGGGCAGATTTCTGCATGAAAAAAGGACCTTTTCCTTAACCAAAAATTTCTACATGAAGATGAAAGAAGCATGGTTTTTATAAGAGAAAAACATGGAAGCCAGATTTCATGCCTGTAATCTCAGGACTCTGGGAGGCTAAAGCAGGAGAATCACAAGTTTAAACCAGTCTGGGCAATTGAGCAATTCAGCTAGACCCTGTCTCAAAATAAGGCATAGAGTTGTAGCTCAGTGTGAAGACCCTGGGTTCAATACTCAGTACTTAAAAAACAAAAATAGAGATTGAATATGTTTATAAAGATTTCCCCATTTCTCTCTGATTATATATTTATTCTAAGTTTAGGGGATTTGGGGGCATTTTGTGGTGCTGGGGACCAACCCTAGGCCTTCATGGATGCTAGGCAAGCACTCTTCCATTGAGTTATGTCCTCAGCCCTAAATTTAGGAATTTCTCA